GGATGGCTGGCTGGTTGGTCACATGTGGTCTTCCTGGTTTTCTGAAAAAGACCACTGTGGGTAGACCAGTTGTAGCTTTGTCAGACATTCCTGTCTCTAAAGAAAAGTCTGGTGTTAGGATGTTTGTTTCAGCAGTAACCCTGAAAGTCTGAGGGGCCCCGCAGAACCTGTGCAGCCCCCATACTCCTCTGTTAACTCAAGAAGTTGCTCTACAGTAAAGAGTTGACACAGGACCACCCACACCCCACCCCCCATTGCCCAGGAAAGACCAAGGAACCACCAGCTAAGGGAGAAAGAGACAATGGGGCCTGATAAGGCATACCTCAGACGCGTCTGGATGGGACTTGTCTGGGTCACTGATCAGTTGAAAGCAGGGTAAAATTTCAACCCTTCAAAGTTCTTTGACAGGGAGTTGAGAAACAGATGACTCACTGAGCTAGTCAAACTCTAGACAAGATTGCCACTTTTAGATGCAGGTGTACCAGCTAGAAAAAGCCTTCATCACTTAGCTCCAGAAGTTTAGAATCTATCTCGAACATTCCGGCAAGGATTTCTTTTGGCTTTCAAATAGCCTTATAGGAATATTTGCCAAAGACTATTTGTGTGCACAGCTTGGCTCCTGTAGTGACACTCATTACAGTAAGTTGAAGAGCGTGCACACCTTCAGGTTCCATGCTAAGCATTGTACATGTTTGGAACACAGCACATGGTATGACTCATTTTTGCCGATGCTGCTCTCAGATGATCTCACTGAACAAGGTAAGAAATCTTGAGTTCTGGCCTGCCTTTTTTTTTTCTACTTGCAACACCAGCATCCCACATCAGACCACTAGTTCAAGCTCCAGCTGCACCACTTCTGATCCTGTTTCCTGTTAACACACCTGGAAAGACAGCAGATGGTGGTCCAAGCAACAGGGGCAATCCCTGCCACCACATGAGAGACCCAGGCAGAGTTCCTGGCTCCTGGCTTTGGCCAAACCCAGCCCTGGCAGTAGAGTGCATTTTAGGAGTATATGAGCGAAAAAAAAAAAGAAAGAAAGAAAAAGAGAGAGAGATCTTTTTGCCATGAAGATTTTCAATCAAATAAATAGATCAATTTCTTTTTGTAAGAACCTGCAATTGCTGTAAGAGTAGGGAAATGAGTCATTTCTAACCAATGAGATTCACTGGGAGACTTGGGAAACAACTTCAAAGGCAGGTCTGGCTCTTGCCCTGGAGACCATGAGGGGGAAGGCTGGGCCAGTGTGATAGGCAATCAGTTGATGGTGGGAGGACTGAGGCAGGAAGGGGACAGGGTGCTTCAAAGAGTGAGAAGTGAGGATGCAGGCAGCTCAGCTGCCACTGCCATTGAGCCCTTCCAATAAAATGATCAATGCTCTATTTACACCCTGGGCCAGTTGTCCTGGGCCCATTCCTACCCTGAGAAAGCCTTGCTTTTTGTTTATTTTCTTCATTTGTTTCCTAACAGTCTGCAGGCGCTCACACTCCCCACTGGGGGGCAGGCCCTATTCTCCTAAGCCTGAACAGCTCATCTCCATCATCTGGGCCTTAGTGAACAAACTGCCAGATGTTTCCCCCATTTCCAGATCCTGGTCATTCTCAAGCTGACTTGTCCTCTGTCTCATGATTTTAGGTTCAATTTCCTTCAAGGAAATCATTCAATAAATACATCTTAGGTATCCTTTATCCAAAGTGCTGGGATCAGAAATGTTATCGAGTCTGGTGTTGTAGTATAATGTATTAAGCCAAATCCTGAAGCACTGGCATCCTACAGGGGCACCAGTTCAATTCCCAGCTGTTCCACTTGCAATCCAGCTCCCTGCTAATATGCTGGGAAGACAGAAGAGGATGGCCCAAGCACTTGGACCCCTGTACCCACATGGGAGACCCAGATGAGGCTCTTGGCTCCTGACTTTGGCCTGGCCCAGTTCTGACAGTTGCAACCATTTGGGGGAGTGAACCAGTGAATGAAAATCTTTCTCTATGCCCAGCTCTGAGTGTCTTTGCCAAATAAATCTTTAAAACAAAAAGAAAAGTTCAGTTTTCATATATTATTTTTCAGATTTCACAGCACTGACACATACACAACAAGATATCTTGGAAAAGGGACTCAGTTCTTCACGTTCCATGCATGCCTGATATACACAGCCAAAAGTAATTTTTATAGAATATGTTTAATAATTCTGTGCAGGAAGTCAAATTACATGGTGTGGAATTTTCCACTTGTGGCTTCATGCAACCACTCAAGATGTTTTGGAATTTGGAGTGTTATGGATTTCAGATGTTCAGCTTAGAGATGAGTCAACCCAGACTGAAGCCTTAAAGGTAGGCTTCATCCTTACCGTTAGTTTGAGCCTTGAGCTTGGGGGAAGGGTGGTCGCTCTGTCACACTGCCACCTCTGATGCTGCCACCGCTGCTCCCGTGAGAATCCAAAGATGCTTTGCCTGCCCACAGGGGCACCTGCATAAATCACTGTTAGCAAAGAGATGCTCTCAGCATCAGTAAGTTGTGCTCGCCATGCTTTTGGCAGCAGCAGAGCTGTTCCAGGTTGATCCAAGCTGCAGAAAGCTCTTTAGAGGATGTCCTACCCTAGTCAGCAGCACAGTCACTGTACGACTTGGAGCTGGAGCTGGTTTTGAGGTACAAAACGTAAAGCCACTGCCCACAATGCTGGCATCCTAAATGGATGCCAATTGGGCCCAACTGTTCCACTTCAGATCCAGCTCTGATGCACCTAGGAAAGCACCTGAACATGGCCCAAGTATCTGGCACCTGCTACTTTCAGAAGATACTCATTGTTACTCATTTCTGGCTCATGGCTTCAGGCTGGCCCAGCCTGGCCCAGTCCAGAGTTAATGTAGAGGAGTGACCCAGCAGGTGTAAGATCTCTCTCTCTTTCTCTTTACAAGTGTTTCAAATAAACAAATAAATATAAGAGAAAGGAAGGAAGGAAGGAAGGAAGGAAGGAAGGAAGGAAGAAGGAAGGAAGGAAGGAAGGAAGGAAGAAAGAAAGAAAGAAAGAAAGAAAGAAAGAAAGAAAGAAAGAAAGAAAGAAAGAAAGAAAAGAAAGAAAGAGAGGGAGGAAGGAAGGAAGGAAGGAGGGAAGGAAGGAAGGAAGGAAAGAAGGAAGGAAGGAAGGAAGGAAGGGTGGGTCAGTTTGTTGTCAGGACTGCCATCATTGGATCAAGAAGGTAGCAAAAGAAAGAGCCCGAGTGGACCAACCACCAGCACCTTCTCATGGAGCCCAGAGGAGACCATCTCTGCAAGGGGGCCATGTAGAGGTCCTCCCCAGAGTCAGGGTGGACAAGTCTCTGTTTTGTCCAAATCTGAGGGCCCTTCATCCCATTTATTTTTTTCTAAAACACCTATACCTCTAATGGCAAAGCACCTACCCTTCCTCTTTCTGGGAGTTGGAGTGGAGTCCCACAAATGGGCCCACAGGAAAGGACAGAGGAACATAAGGAGTGACCACAAACAAAGGAGGAGTCAACAATCCATTGGGGCAGCAAATCCCAGGGGTGGAGTTGGGGCTGACGACAGTACTGCATAGGGATGATCACATCCATGAGCTCATCCCAAGGCAGAAGGCAGAGCAGCTGACAGCCTGAAGCTCCTGGGGAAAAAAGGCCTTCTCCTCCCACTCCCACTCCTCCTCCTCCTCCTTCTCCTCCTCCTCCTCTTCTTCCTCTTCCTCTTCCTCTTCTTTCTGCTCCTACTCCTCTTCCGGCTGTCCTACAGCATCCTGACCGCACCCCTACCCCACCCCTGTCTCCAGTCCCAGAGTGGGACCCAGGAGCCACCCCAGGCAAGGCTTGACAGTGACTTAGGGTCCTTCCCAGACCCCTCCTGGGGCTCGGCTAGGTGGTGTTCCCTCCAGCGTGGTGCTCAGGGTTGCCTTAAGAATTGTTGAGGACAACACCTGCTGGAATTCTGTACCACCTGCAGCCCAACCGTTGTGGTTGCAGCTGTCGCGGGGGAGGGGGGGGGGTCCAAGTCAGGGGCATTGGTGAGTGTCTGCCATAGAATTCAGAGGTGAAGCAGCACAAGGCAAGATCCCAACCCTTCCCGAACTGTCCCCTCCCCAGACACATGCTGGAGCCCCGCGGTAGAGACCCCAAGCCGGTGACAAGCATAGGCACAAAGCATGGCACTTCTCTCCACATTTTATACCACTGCCTGCGCAGCACCGAGCGTCGCAGGGCAGACCGCGGCTTGGGTTTCTGAGGTCTCCACCTCTGCGAGTGCATCTCCACCCCCGGTATCTGACAGGCATCTACTCTGAAAAGTTCAAGGAGCTGTGGTGGTCGGAGGCAGGAGCTGCGTGAAGTGAGAGGGGAGGCAGGAGCTGCGTGAAGTGAGAGGGGAGGCGGGGCTAAAGAGAGAGCCATCGGGACCTGCTGGGACCCGCGATGCCCGGCTGAAGCCGCAGGTCCCGCAGCTTCACGAAATGGGCTTAAGGATGCGAGCAGGCGTCGCGAACACGCCAGGGGCGGGGGCGGCGGTGTCAAGTGTGCAGGAAAGAGCGGTGCGCGCCCTGGGTGATGCCGCTCGCATCCCGCGCGCCTGGTTACCCGCGCCGAGGAGAACCGGATCCGCTGGCGCCAGCCTCGGGAGTGCACAGCCGCAGCTGAGCGCATCGCAAAGCACCTGCAAGGAGGAAGGAGGTTAGCCGTGTGGGGCTCCCGAGGAAACCCAGGGCACCGGGCTGGAGACATTGGGACTGGGGGAGCGAATCGGCTGCGGGGAGGGTTCAGCGGAGGTGGGAGTGCCCGACAGCAATCCCCCTCCAAAGTACGTGCCCGGTCACTGTGAGGGGATCGGAGCGGGGCGCCTTCCCCACCTCCGGTCCCCGACAGGGCTGTTTAAGCACCACAGGCTAAGGAGTGCGCCTCTTTGTGCTGGAGAGAGACCCCCGCCGCCAAAGTCACCGCCGCTGCCGTGCTCCTTGCCAAGCTCAGCGGTCCCAAGGTAGTAGGGGAGGCACCTGCAACCCTTAGACATGAGCGTGTCCCCGATGCTGCCCTCAGGGGCCGAAGAGGAGCTGGAGATGATCTGGCTTGGTCTGGCCAACAGCACAGGTGCTCCGCCCGAGAAGGATCTGAAGGCTGCGGCCGGGACCGACCGCACGGGGTTAGCCGGCACCATCGCCATCCAGTGCGTGTATGCATTGGTATGCCTGGTGGGCCTGGTGGGCAATGCACTGGTCATCTTTGTGATCCTGCGCTATGCCAAGATGAAGACAGCCACAAATATCTATCTGCTCAACCTAGCTGTGGCCGACGAGCTGTTCATGCTCAGCGTGCCCTTCGTGGCCTCATCAGCAGCGCTGCACCACTGGCCCTTCGGCTCCGTGCTGTGCCGGGCTGTGCTCAGCGTGGACGGCCTCAACATGTTCACCAGCGTCTTCTGCCTGACCGTGCTCAGCGTGGACCGCTATGTGGCCGTGGTGCACCCGCTGCGCGCAGCCACCTACAGGAGGCCCCGAGTGGCCAAGCTTGTCAACCTGGGGGTGTGGCTGGCCGCTCTGCTGGTCACGCTGCCCATCGCCATCTTCGCCGGCACCAGGCCGACCCGCGGCGGCCAAGCCGTGGCCTGCAACCTGCACTGGCCACACCGGGCCTGGTCGGCTGCCTTCGTGGTCTACACCTTCCTGCTGGGCTTCCTGCTGCCCGTGTTGGCCATCGGCCTGTGCTACCTGCTGATCGTGGGCAAGATGCGCGCTGTGGCGCTGCGCGCAGGCTGGCAGCAGCGCCGACGCTCCGAGAAGAAGATCACCAGGCTGGTGCTGATGGTGGTGGCCGTCTTCGTGCTCTGCTGGATGCCCTTCTACGTGGTGCAGCTGCTGAACCTTTTCGTCACCGGCCTGGATGCCACTGTCAACCACGTGTCACTCATCCTCAGCTATGCCAACAGCTGCGCCAACCCCATTCTCTATGGCTTCCTCTCCGACAACTTCCGACGCTCCTTCCAGCGTGTGCTCTGCCTGCGTTGTTGTCTCGTAGATGCTGTGGGTGGCGGTGGCGGGGGCGGTGCTGAAGAGGAGCCCCTGGACTATTTTGCCACAGCAGCCCTCAAGAGCAGAGGTGGGGTGAGGTGCATCTGCCCACCGCTGCCCTGCCCGCAAGAGCCTGCCGCACAGCCTCCACCGCTGCAACCACCAGAACCCGACCACAAGCCGATGCCGTCCACCGGGACCACCACGTTCTAAAGAGCTCTGTGCCACCCTTCAATTCAGCCCTCCACACCTGCTCATGCATTTGGCCCCATGAAGTACCAGCTGTTGCTGATAAAGCGTCTTCAGGAGGAGTCTGTGACGCCCTCTAGAGCATTCAGGACTAGGCTCCTCACCCATGCCCCTGGCTTACCAGGAGGACCCCTCCGAGAGGGTAGGACTTCTCTGGGACCTGGGCTAAAGGGAAACAAGAGGTGACCAGGGAAGCAGTGACACCTGCACGCATGTAACTTGATGGTGGCAGCTGGAGAATCATGGGCAGGAAGGGTCCAGGGTGTGCCCTGGCCCTGTCTGCCGACTTTCTCTGCCTTGCTGTAGGGATGCAGTGTGCAGGGGAGGGAGGGAAGAAGGAGATGCTCAGAGCTGGCTCCCTTCCTTCCTGTTCCCACGCTGTCGTTGCTAAGTGAGATTTCTGTGCAGCAGTCTGTTGTCCCTTTCCTCCTCCCACTTCAGCCCCAACACCTGCTTAGCATCCCCCAGTGTCTCCCAGGGCTGTCCCGGCTTCCTGAGAATTGGAAAAGATTTGGAGATCGAGGGTGTGGGGTGTGTTGAAAAAGGTTAAACCAGAGCCATTAAAAAAAAAAAAGTTGAGAAGACATAATCACAGTGAGCTCCTGTGAGCTTTTTTCCTTCTGATTCTTGGGTGTGGGCACATGGGAGCACATGGAGGCTGCAATGTGCACTGTGGTGGTGAGTGGGAGTGCAGCCAGGGAGTGAGGGGGAGGACGACCAGAGAGGATGGGAATCAGAGAAACCAGGCAGATCCAGCACCCCGGCTTTCCAAATGTCTACATTGGTAACACGCTAGCTGGGTGCTGATATTAACATGGAGGCTGAAGACAGAGGAGGCCTGAAATTTCACCCATGTTAAGCAAGGGATCTTTCCTCAAGGCAAAAAGTTGGCTTAAGAGAGTCAGGTGCTGTAATTTCATCACCTGTGGAAAGCAGAGGAGGGTGAAGTGGGGTGCTTTGAAGGAAGTCAAGCTTACACCTGTCAGGTCTGCAGACAGGGTGGGGCTCCAGGCTAGGCACAGAGGGGCTGCTGGGAGGTGGATGGGAATCAAAGCAGGCCTACCTGGGGCTGGGGTAGGGCAGAGTGAGGATGAGAGAGGTGGAGGGGTAGGCTGGGCTGGGGTGGCCTGGGGAGGGGGTGGCCTGGGAAGGGGTGGGGAGGAGTGGACTGGGGTGGGCTGGGGAGGGGTGGGATGGGGTGGGATGGAGTAGGGTGGGGTGGGGTAGGATGGGATGGGCTGGGAAGGAGTGAGTTGGGGTGAGGAAGAGTGGGTTGGGGTGAGGAAGAGTGGGCTGGGGTAGGCTGGACAAAGACAGGCCCAAGGTGATGCTCTGTTTCTACCAGGGCTGGCCGGGGGCTACTCCGGGAAGCAGTAGGACATGGCCCTGCCCTTGAGAGTGTGGACCCAAGCCAGGGTGTGACATGATGTGGGCAAGCTGGCCAGGATCTGGGAAACAGACAGAGCATCTGAGTTCCAAGCTGATGTGTAAATATATGTGACGCTGGCCAGGGACCCCAAGTCTGGACAGATCTGGAGACACACTTTTCCAGCTGGAGATTTCAATTCATCCCTCACAAATTGAGACCAGGATGCCTGTGCGGCATGCAACCATGGGATCCTTACCCAGTGGTTGACTGAAAGAATAACCCAAGAACAGTGGTGAACACTGATGCAGTGTCTCATGGGGCTGGGCAGGCGAGGTAGACATGCAGCCTTTGCCTTCCAGTGGTCTCCTCCCTTCTTCAGGAGACACCAGGTGGCCAGGCAGAGAGGTGCCCATGGATTGCAATTGCCTATCTTTTCACACACACACATGCATACGTCTTTGAAGACATACATGTACAGGCACCCATACACATGCAAACGTGCACATCCCTATGCATACAAACCTCAACTATCTCTCAAGTGTTGGTTCCTCCCTGAGTGACATCCAGCACCCAGAGTAAGTTGGTCCCTATCCCATTCGACTGTTGGTTTGTTCCCCGTACCTGGCAGAGTGGCCGAGAAGTTAATGTGATAGAATCACACTCTAAGAAGCAGCCAGGAAGACAGTAGCAAAGGGGAAGGGTTCCCAGCACCAGCAAAGAGAACCTGAGGTGCTGTCAGCCCTAGCTTGGATGCATCACAGGGTTCTTTTCTCTGGCTTCCCAAGGGCTCCCAGTGGCACAGGCCAGGGACCTTGGCAAGGCTACTCAGCTTAGCTGATAACAGGACCCCAGTACTGCAAGCCAAGGTACATGCACACTGAACTGCCAAGCTCAGCAGGATGAGATACACACACATTAGACCCCCAGGGCTACAGGAAGAGTTGCATACACATAGGACCTCAGCACACAGGACCCTCCAGAACTGCAGGAGAATGTGGGCGCACACAGGAACTCAGAACTGCGAGCAGAGGTACCCGCTGACAGGGTTCTGCCTTTTTTTGTGTGAAACTTAATGACAAAATATATAGGTGAACCAAATAACCATGGACATCAGAGTATCATCCTGAACGGAGTAATACACATGTGGGAGAAAAATCTGGTTTCCATGGAAATATCCAAGTCATGTGGTAGGTGTCCTTTTTTGAAGACCAGGTGAGAATGGATTATAGAGGGAAGGGATGCAGGGTGTGAAGGGCTCTACATGGAGGAGACAGCATATGCAAAGGGCCTGTGGTGGGAGGACATAGGCTGGCCAGGAATGACTGACATCAAACGAGGTGGAGGATCTAGCATACAGAGCAGTAGGAGGAGTCTCCTAGCAGTATTTTATAAGCCAGTTTAAGGATTTGGGTCTTTGTTCAAGGAACCATGGAGTAGCAGGCCAGCCTCCAATGAGGGACTCAGGTCCACTAGGCCAGAGAAGGCCATCCAGACCTCTTGGGGTTCTTGTAACACCAGAACACACAGGCCTGCAGGTGTAAGCAAGCGGGAAGCTCAGGAAGAAGATGTGTCCTTCTGTTCATTGCAACTTTCACCCACTCTGGATCAATGGCAAAGCAGGGTCCCCAGACACATGGATGGGTGGGTGGGCTTAGTGTCATAGCAAGCAGTGCTTTTGAAAATGGGGCAAAGGGGAAAAAAAGCCACAACCATTCATTACACTGCCAAGAATGGGAGGACTTACTTCATAAAAATACAAGCGTGTATCCAAAGATGCTGTGAGTGTCCACACAGGTTCTGAACTGCTGAGTTCCTAGGGCTCGACCCACTGGGAGGGCAGAGCGGCCCCGTGTCAGCACTGCCACTCAGAGCAGGTGCACAGAGACAACCAAACACTCAGAGCTTGGCTCAGCAGAGGATGCTTTCCCTTCAATGGCTAGAATCACTGCGGAGGGGCTCAGAACAGGAGGCTGCCCACTGGGAGGGCCAGAACCACTGGAAGGGCTCAGAACAGGAGGCTGCCCACTGGGAGGGCCAGAACCACTGGGAGGGCTCAGAGCAGGAGGCCACCCCCTGGGAGGGCCAGAACCTCAGGGGAGGAGGAGGCAGGAGTTGGTGCAGAGACCTCTGAGTGTGTTGATTTTTACTTAAACTGAATCTTTGTTGCTGTTGTTTGTTTTCTTATTTTATTTTATTTTATTTTTACCAATCAGAAGAGGCTTTGATTCCTGTAAAGTCCATTTTCATTGCAGGGTAACCTACTGGGTTCTCTGAGTGCTGACTGCAGCCTCAACTCTGGCAAGACGGTCTCAGCTTGCATCACTGCTCCGTCCTTGCCAGTGACTGACATCTGTAGTCTGATGTGGCGGGCCCAGGCACCAAATAAAACAGGATGGGGGTGGGGCACCTGTGAGGCACGAACCTGGGGATGGAAAAACCCTCCTGGCCAGAGAGACCACCTACTGTTGCAAGCTGCTTGAGAGCCTCTCCTCAGTGCTGGGAGGCTCTTTTCTGCCTGGCTTTGAACAGTAGCAGCCTGCACTCCAGAAACAACCGGAACAAACTGGAGGGCTGAATTTGACTCTGGGCGTGTCACTAACTTCATTACTGACCTTAATACGAGCACCCAAGAGAGACATTGGTTTCCCTTTCAAGCCAGAGGTTCCAATCTGCTTTGTGGCCAAATGCAGTGGGCTCCCTTTGCAGACCAATGTAGCAGGGTGTGTCCTCCAGGCCCAAGCCTGTCAGGTTTCCAATTGCCCATGGTTCCCAATTGCTGTGGGCCAGAGGCAACTCCCAGGGACTCTGTTGCTGTCTCCATTTCAGCTTGTATCAAGGCTGTGTCTCGTGCTCTGGAGAGCTGCAGACAAACAGAACCAAGGAGCTGGGACTCACTCCCATAGTTGTGCTTCCCTGTGAGCCTCTGCATGCTGTGGTTTGAACGTCCCTTCATGTGGAGGCCACTGAAGCCCCAAATCCATTTGTTAAAGGAGGTGAGGCCTTTGGGAGATCATTAGGGTTAGAGGCAGTCATGTGGGTTCGGTCCCAGGATGACAGCTTTGTAAGCACAAGAGAGGCCCAAGTTAGCATATGGGTTTCCATCACGCCCCGTCACAGCAAGAAGGCCCTCCCTAGAAGGTAAGCATGTTCTTGCACTTCCAGCAGTCCAATGTGTGAGCTCCATAAACCTCTGCTCCTTCTGATGACTCAGTCTGTGGTATCCATCACGGCAACAGAAAATGGATTAAGGGGCCAGCCCCAGGACTGATCCTCCACCTGTACGGAGGTGGTTTGAGTCTTGGTGGCTCCACTTCCAGTTCAGCTCCCTGCTAATGTGCCTGGGAAAGCAGCAGAAGTTGGCTCAAGTCCTTGGGTCCCTGCATCCATGTGGGAGACCCAGAAAAAGCTCTTAGCTCCTGGATTTAAATTGGCTTAACTTTACTCATTGCAGCTATTTGGGGAGTGAACCAGTAGATGGAGAATCTCTCTGTCTCTCCTTCTCTCTCTCTACAAATCTGCCTTTCTAATTAAATAAATAAATAAATAAATAAGATCCCTTAAAATTGTTTGTAAAGAAAACAGATTAAAATCACTGCAAGACCATGTCTTGGGCGGATAGCAAAAACATTTGAAGAACGATAAAGTCAGCTTCTAGTAACGGATTGCAAAACACAGTGACGGGGGTTACATCACCAGAAGGATGCTCCCATGAGGATGTCAACAAGGCTCAGGATGCGCGAGAGTTCATGGAAGGTGGGGACTGAGTCAAAGCAGGGTGGAAGGGAGAAGGGAAACAGGAGGGAGGGAGTGTTTCTTCCTTGTGGATCAGGGGTTGTTGGGCCCAATCTCTCAGGGTAGATTGGACTCTAGTCTATCAAGACTGGCTGGGTCACAATGTCCAGGTGAGCCACAGTCAGAGGAGTGAGATGAAGGCGGTTGATGACAGGAAGCTGCCAGACAAGAAGTGGGCTTTCTTTGCCACGTCAACCACACGGCCTATTTTTTGACAGCATGTTACTTGCAGGCAGAGGTCTAGATAAACATCAAGCCAGTGGCCTGGCTGCCCTATGGGCACAGAGCCCACCTGTGAGCCCAAGACTTTCCCCCATCCCCCAGACTCAACAACTTAACATCTGATTTCCCTTTCCAGTGGGTGTGACTGGAGTTCACACCTCCCTAGGGTTCTTTTGTCTCTGGCAATTGCACTTGCAAAACAGGCTGCAAAGGATTTGGTTCTGCTAGGATCTGTGATGTTAAAACAATATTTGGCTTCTCTTGTGAGAGGAAATCAGTTGTTTTGCCTCCATTTGAACCTGCTGACTGAAAAAAAAAAAAGGGAGGAAGGACCCACTCAAAAAAGAAAAGAGACAGCGTTGAACCCGAGCATTCATTCTGGAAAAGCAAGAGACCAGAGCTGGGTGTGGGCTGTGTTCTTTCACAGAGAAATACCTAGAAAGGTCAGAGGATGTGTTTTGCAGAGCAGAATGGGTGCCCCCTGCAGAGCCATGACCGGGCTGAGCCTGTGTTTTTCTGGGTTCCTTTAACCTCTGCTCTCCTTGAATGAATGGCAGGATCCCCCACTCTCAGAAATCCTTACGAGAAGTCCCTTACGATGGAAGCTGATCATGAGGCCACATACAGGCGCCTCCCCTGCAATCCAGATCAAAAGTCTGGCTTCTCCCTTGAGTGTCCTGTGTTCCTTTGGGTTGTGACACAGTGAGGAGAGTGATACTGTCTTCTCCCTGGTGTTTCTGAAGGCATGCAGGAGGCTGGGGGTGTCCACCCAGAATTCTGCTGGGTCTCCTTGACATAGGCCAGAGCCCTGGGGCCTTTGCAGCTAGCTTTAACACTCTGTCCAGCTGTGACTGAAGCCCCAATTCCCACTCCACCCCGTTCCCAGCTCCAAGACAGTTCATCCAGAATTCATGCTTCCTTCTCCAGTCACTGCATCCGTCCTTCAAAGCACACTTCCTGAGGCCAGCGCTGCATCCTATCAGGTAAAGAGGCCTCCTGCAGTACTAGTAGCATCCCACATGTGTTTGAGGCCAGCTGCTCCACTTCAGTTCAGCTCCCTGCTAATGTACCTAGGAAAGCAATGGAGGATGGTTCAAGTGCTTGTGCCCTACACTCAACATGGCCTGGCCTGGCCCTGACCATCACAGCCATTTGGGGAGTGAATGAGTGGATGGAAGATTTCTCTCTCATACTCTTTCTCTCTCTGCCTGTCCCTCTCTCTATCTCTGCCTTTCAAATAAGAAGGCAAAATCTTTTTTTCAACAAGAAAAGAAACACGAAACACACTTCTCACTTTCTACACAAGCTTGAGTTTGCCCCTGAAACTCGTGATTCCAACATAACTTGTGTCAATTTTGCTAATCCACTTATATATCCACTGATTCATCAGAGTATTAATGAACAGTAACTGGGCACCTTTCATGTGTTCAGAAATTGCTCACTCACCACTTCCAGCCTTCATGCAGACCTTGTGAGGTGGCACTGACAGAACCCCATCATATACCCAGGGGAGTGTGTGTAGTGTCTACCACCACATGACAACCCCCAGAGAAAGGATGGGACCAAATCCAGGTGTGTAAGCCTTCCACCCTTCCTGGATGGATACTGCAGGCTTCTGCTCAGGGAAGATTATATAGGATGAGACTTCACAAACTGGAATATGAAGATAAGATTATTTTGACATCCCCCCAAATTTGACGTTGATATGCATTTTCTACAAACTCTTGGAAGAACTCTGACAAACCTAAAAGAGGCTATGGTCTCCTCAATTTCAGGACATACATGTTATCCCAGCTGCGTAGAGGGGATGGCAAGCGTTGTGGTGTCCCTGCTTAAGCTGTCACTACACCCTGCATCTCCCACAGAGCGCCTGGCGGGGTCTCACTCCTGCTGCCTATCCAGCTTCCTGACCATGCATGACACTTGAGACAGCAGATGACAGCCAGAGGACTGGTGTTCCTGCCACCCACATGGGAGATCCCAGATTGAGTGGCAGGCTTCAGCCTGGCCCAGTCCTGGCCACTGTGGGGTTTCGGGAAGTGAACCATCCACAGAAGATTTCTTTCTGTGTTTCTCTCTCTGCCTTTCAAATTAGTAAATCTTGGGGAAAAAAAAAAAAAAAGCCTTGAGTGGCTCACTTGCTCCAAAGCATTGTCCTCTTCTCTGGACTCCTCCACTGAGCGGGAGGGGTCTTCCTCCCCACAGCCCTACTACACTCTTCACCAGGAACACTGCTGGCTGTGGCAGCTCCAGAGCATAGAGCTGCCCCTCCTCCCAGCCTCTACATTAACCCTCTACTCCACCTTCATGGCAGCCACAGCCGATTAAAACAACAGAAATCCAGGACTACCAGAGAGAGACACGCAACTGGGCATGGGACAGAACTCCCTCTTCTCTCTAAGTCTGCTTGAATATTATCACAACCCTGCCTGTAAAACTCAGGGGCCAAGCGCTGTGGTGCAACCAGTAAAGTCGCCACCCGGGATGCCAACCACCTGGTATAGAAGCTGGTTTGACTTCCTGCTGCTCCACTTCCAATCCGGCTTCATGCTATGGTGCCTGGGGAAAGCAGTAGAGGATGGCCCAAGTGCTTGGGCAAGAACTCCTGGCTTCAGCCTGGCAATGCCCTGGCTGTTGTGGCCATTTGGGAAGTGAACTGGCAGATGGAAAATCAACACACTTGAGTTTCTCAGGAAAAAGGCCAAGAAGTTCCCATGGGGAAGACAGTGTCCCCAGCCTCCAGCACGGAGGAGACTGGTTGCATTCTGAGTGAGACCTTGGTCTCAGACCCTTCCTGGCCACGCTGAGGTCTAGTATCTCCCGGGAGTTTGGCTCTTGCTAAGCTGTGTGCAGAAGGACTCACAGCAGGGGTTCTACAGATGAGCCAGGATTTACCCTATCACTCCTCCCAACCAGTGATCCTTGTGCATGACGTTGTTATGGTTACAGAGGAAGAAAAGCGAATATGTGTGCACACGGAGATAACACTGACAAAGGTCGTACGTCGGAGACAGCCTCCCACCCAGGCGTGGTGAGGGTGGTGCGGTGTGTCTCACAGGCCCTGGCTCTCCTGCCAACACATGAGGAATCCGGATGAAGAGGAAAGGCAACCAGAGACACAGAACCCAACGGCACACTGAAATCTGTTTATTTTGTACAAGTGACATCGTAAGCAAGGGTTTTGCCTGTGTTCTGCTTTAACTCCAATAAATAAATATGTACACATGTGCTGAGTCTACAACGCGGCAGTGACAACCTTGCCCGCACAAGATGCGCTCACACTACACTTGGTTTCCATCTGTTGCCAGTACAGCTGAATCACACACCTTCTCGCCTCCACGCGTCGGTACCAAGTCGTTTCTGCTGGAAATCAAAGCTCTACAACATAAATTCCTCAGTTTCTTTAGATTCAAGGGCCCCACTTGGCCTACTACTTATGACTGTTCCCCTATTCACACGTTCTCGAAATTCAGGTGACTGGGGCGGACAGCTCTGCTTGCAAATCCGGTTACAATGCGGATGAGCAGCGAGCTGAGGGGAAGAGCCTGGGCTCAGTGTTTCTCACTGGCTCCCACGAATGGCACAGGGACCACACTGCAATGATCAGGTCCGAGAGGCCCCTCTGAAGTGGCAGGGAATCCTCCAAGGGCCTCATTAAGGAAAGGCGCTAATCACGCCCCATTCTCAAGCTCCCAAATCCCACAAAATCAACCATGCTGGTTTTGTTCTAGCCAACAAGTGACAAGAAGCAGTAAGACACAGACCAATGATAATCCATAATAATCCACACCAATCACACAGCTCTTAAACAACGGTCTTCAGGGAGGTGCCTCCCTCTACGCTCATTCTAGAGAAAGCATCTAACCATTTGAATACTGCCAAAAACAACTAATAATAGCAATGATAAGATGAACCTGCATACAAAACTTACACCCATCACTGTGTTTTCAGTCCAAATCACAGCAACAAGAGTCAGAGAATACAAGCTGACTGCTTAAAAAAAAAAGAACCTGCTTGGGCTTAATTTTTAGCACAATTCAGCCACAGTCACTGAGCAAACACTTCACATTTTCCTCTTTGTTGTTTTGCTTGATTGGAGAAAGTTATCAAATCTGGAGACAAGGCAAGTGTCCCCAGCAATGTCTGTAGTGTTTTGGGTCCCCTTTTCTGGTTCCCATAGGAGCTGTGCCTGGCAGACAGCTCAGGGCCAAAAGAGCAAGAAGTCGGAGTTAGACACAAGTAGAGACTGAGAGAGAAGGGGAGGAAAAAGGAAAAGAGACGGCAGGGATGTGGAGAAAAGAGGGAGAGGGAAAGAGACACAGAGCAGCTACTGGAGACGTACAGTTAGAACAGGGAGGGGGGACTAAAGCAAAATAAATATCTTGGTCCTCACTAGCCCACGGCAGGGTCAAGTTTGTCTGGAAGGCTGCGGCCCAGGCTGGCCCCGCCGCTGCGCCTGAGGGGGGGGGGGTGTTTAGGATCGCCCCCTCTCTCTGCAGTCTGCAGTTCCGGTGTGTTCAAGCAGCGGTCAGAGACGTCGCGAGAGACGTCGCCACTCGCCCTCCTGGGGACCCCAACCCGCTACCTGTGAGCTCCATCAGCCAAAACACCCTGCGGGCTGGGACAGGGGAAGGCACATGGGTGGAGGGTGGCCCTCTCCAGTGAGACGGGAGCCACGGAGCCAGGGAGCCAGGTGGGGGCTGGGTTCCAGAGGGGCGAGGGGACTGGTGGGTGCACAGGTGCGAGGAGTCTGGGGCTGCCCGGTCCGGTCCGCGCCTTAGCACAGTTTCTGCGGCGTGTTCTCTGTCCGCACCTGCTGCAGCACCACCTCCTTGCTCGGGGAGCCACTCTTGTACTCCAGCTCACTGCGCTTGGAGCCCTTCTTCTTGCGCAGGTGGCAGAGGAGCGCCAATAGCGCCACCACCAGAGACAGGCTGGCGATGGAGGTCCCGATGACCACGCCCGAGTGCACAGGCCTGGCAGGCGGCACGGTCAAGGTGGCACCAGGCGTGGGGCCGGGCAGCTCTCCGGAGCCGTATTCGCTGCCGAATCTACCGCCGCCGACCTCACGGCTGCTCGTCTGATCCGGATAGCAGTCCGTGCTGACCTGGCCGGCCAGGGGCGTGTCGGGCCCACACACGCACTCGTAGCTGCCGGGAAGATTGCGGCACTCGCCTTGGCATTGGTCGCTGGCGCATTCGTCGATGTCGGCGCACATGTCCCCGTCGTCAAGAATAAATCCTTCGGGACACATGCAAGTGTGCCCATTCTTGGTGTCACAGATGGCAGGGCAAGCAGTCTCGTTGCAGAACATCTGACAGCGGTGTGGCTCGTTGGGGACGGGCATGAAACCATCAGAGCAGATGCAACGGTAGTCGCTGGCGCCCACCTGCTGGCACTGATACTCGCAGTCGGCGGCGAGGCACGGGTCCTTCACGCACACGCCGTCCACCAGCTCGAAGCCCGGGTCGCAGTGACATTCAAACCCGCCTTTAGTGTTGATGCAGCGCTGCTGACACGGGTTGGGCTCCTGCGCACAGTCGTCGATGTCCTCGCAGTGGTGCCCATCTGCTGCCAGCCGGTAGCCAGTATCGCAAATGCAGGAGTAGAAGGGCGCGTGAGGGGTGGGAACGCAGAAATGCTGGCACAGGGCTTCACATGGTGGTGTCACCGTGGTCACCGCCAACGCCGTCGCTGCGCACGAGCGCCCGTCAGCCTGCATGACGGTGTCCATAGGGCACAAGCAGTGGGGAGCTCCCGCGCTCGCGTTGCACACGAACTGGCAGCCACCGTTTTCCACGCTGCAGTCCCAGGCGCCAGGGGCTTCCCTGTCCCAGCTCCCTTCGGCGGCTCCGGGAGGCGCAGCGCACGTTAGCTCCAAGTCCAGGGGCGACACGATGGCCGAGCTGCCCACAGGCAGCGCCTGGAAGTCGGCGCCTTGGCCGCCAAACGGTGTATCGTAGGTACTGGAGACGTGCGCGTCCGCGGCGACGCCGGCCTGCACCGCCAGGGGCCTGCAGGAGGCCGCGAAGTTGAACTCGCAGAGGAAGCCGTCGGCCTCGGCGTCACACGGCTGCTCCTCCCACGCCGGCTCGCCGGGTGCGGCGACTCCGGCGGCGGCGGCGGAGACCGTGACACACAGTGGGCCACACAGGGGCACCCCGCCGCCGCCGTCGAGCCGGGCCCACCTGCTGTAGCTGGTGCGGTTGTCGCCGGTCACCCACTGAAAACCGCGCAGGGGCCCGAGATGCGCAGGGTCGCTGCAGCCGGGAGGAAGCTTCAGGCCGATCCACAGGCTTGTGCTGTCGCCGCTGAGCAGCAAGGAGATGACATCCCCAGCCACTGAGGAGCGCACGGTCATCAGGTGGCCGCGCCGGCGTTCGCAAGTTTGGCTGGCGGCGAGAAAGGTGGCGGGGCCTCGGAAAAGGGCGAAACAGTCGTGCTCCACACACTGGCTGCCAACAGGTTGAGGCAGCTCTGCGTGCGTCGGGAGCGCCCGGCCGGCCGGGGCCAGTGCGCCCAGCGCCAGGAAGACGCGGAGCATGCCGCCGGGGCGCACCGGGTGCGGGCTCCAGGGAAGGCGCGAGCGCTGCGTCGGGGCCGGGGCCGTCGCTGCGCGCAGTCCCATTCGGACGCTTGTGGCCGCGGCGCGCAGCCCCTGCGCGGCAGCGTCTGACATGCCTGGTGGCTGGGGCGCGAGTTTATAAACGCACGGCCCTCCCTCCCTGGACGTTCGGGGAAAAGGAAGGAAGTGCCTGGTGGGAAGGGCTGAAGCTGAGTTCTCGGATTACTGGGTTCGCGGGACGCCTTGCGACCGCCCTCACTCCTGGGATCGCCGCGCGCGGATGAGTAAACTCGGCCCAGGGCGCAGGGAAGTGCCCGGGTGGGGCCAGCAGGCGCAGGCGCCGCTGCCCCCGAGGCCGCTGGCCCGCCCTCGGCGCGTGCAGTCAGCCCCTCCCTAGAAAACCCGGGTGCTCTTTCCTGCTAACTCAGGCTTCTAAAGGAACTGGGAAGGCGAGAGTATGAGTGCCCGGGACCTGCACGGTCCCCGGGAAGGGGGTCACAGAGCCGGGCCTCTCGTGACCTCAACCCCGGGGGCCGCCAAGATTCCTGACTCCAGAGGTGCGGGTTATGCTACGTGGCATAGCAGGGACAGCAGGTGCGGCTGGCCAAGCACCAGGACCCTTGCTCTCTCCCGAGGCCACGGCACGACCAGCCGCGTGGGAACCTCCACGGTTTCAAGTTCCCGCGTCCCTCCTTGCCCTTGTAGGTAGGGGCGGGCGAGTACCCGAGCGCAGGGCTGCGTGTGATGTCAGCTTCGCAGAGAGGGACTGCGCCTTTGGCACCCTCGGTGGAGACTGCGGGGAGGTGCCGTGGACCTCCGGCGGCAACTCAGGGTTTCCGTTTTGTCCGAGGCTGAACCGACAACTGGGCGGGAGTGGAAATGCCACTTGCCCCGCCAAGGTCATCAGAGGGCGCCGCCGTGGGTGGGCAGGAGTGTCTGTCACTTCCCCCTCCCCCTTGATCTGCTTATTCACGCACCAGGAATGCGGAGGGGAGTGTCCAAAGTATAGCGGGGAAGGGCAAACTTTTTAAAAAAAGAAAATGCCCTCCCAACCCGAGGCCCTAGATCCTCCGGTCACTGGCGATCAAGCACCAGAAGGCGGCGCTGTTGAACTCCGAACAAAACTCAAGACACTGGAGAGTCTAACGGCCCTGGTGAATCAGTGTCAGGAAGTGAAGGGGAAAGTTGAGAGGAGGATGGCACAGGCCTGGTGCTAGGGCTGGAAACTGCAAGGAGACCCCCGGAGATAACGTGACCTCGCATCTCCTTGGTCCAGCAGATCCCAGGCTGCCAAAGGGACCAGGGTTGTGGGGCTTTTTCACGCCCAAAGGATAAAGTGCTGGAGGGCCTGGCAGCACTGACCCCCCAGTGAGCTGCAGGGCTGGGGAGGCGCGGGACACTCCCACAGTAAAGGGATGGGGTCTACCCCATTGCGTCCCTGCCGTGCTGCTTGGTGTCCCGTCCCCCCAGGATGGAGAACTGGGAAGTGCAGCGTTCATGCTCAGGTATTCCCCCCCCAAGGGGTTGCAACAGTTGGCCAGTGAGCAAAGCAGAGGAGCCCCCTGCTGAGTACCCAGTCCTGACGCTGCCCAGAGCAGGAGCAGGCGCTTCAGGAAAGGGAGAGGAGAGGTGGGCTGCATTGGCTGAGCCAGGGGTCCCAACCGGGGGTGCACTGCCTGCCCAGCCACGTGGGTGCTGCAACCAGTCCCGGAGTGTGCATGGTTTCTCACGGAACCTGAATCCCACTGAGACACAAGAGAAGGACAGCACCCACCCGAAGGCCTGCTACAGCCACCCAAAGTGAAAATCTGAAATTACTTGCTGACTTGCATGAAGTTTTAAGACTTGTAAGACTTGCTTCACTGGTGCCAGTGGTGGAGGAATTTCTTTTTTTTGTTAAGCTGACTTGTCACTGCCAACTTGGGTTGAGCAACTCCCTCCAGGCTCATGGAGCTCATTATGAGTTGGCGCCCAGGGTGCCCAGCATCCATGGACAGCTCAGTGAGGCCGGGGCAGCTTGGACCATCCCTGCCAGAGGAGGTGCTGGGTTTGCGCACAGCAGGAGGATCCTGGAGTTCCCTACAGCCCAGGCAGGACAGTGCTGTCCCACGGTGGCGTGGGCAGTCTCGGGGTCACTCCTCAGAAGGGTGGAAGGTCACACACTTATCTCTGCCCTTGGCCCTCAGTGGCCTTGCTTGTGTATTTCTGAACCGGTGGGTCTCTCTCCTCCACCCCCACTTGGCAGGCTATTCTGTGTGCTCTAACCTGCGTTCTGCTGAGCCCACATTCCCCCTGTCCTACTCCACATCCCTCCTACTCCAGTCCCTCCTGGGGCTGGGCCTTGGCAGGCCTGTTGACCCAGTCACCCCTGCAAACTCAACAGCCAAGAGCTGTCTGACACCTGAAGCAACCTCCTTGAGGACTCCTACTGAGATCCTGCTTTGGGTCCCCATCTTTCCAGATGTCCCTATGCAATGTACCCTGCTGGTGGGTCACCACTCTCCAGGGTCCTGAGGGTCCAGAGGTCCTCCATCTGCTGCTTCACTCCCCAAATGGCTGCAGTGCTGAAGTTGAGCCAATCTACAGCCAGGAGACAGGCCCAAGCATTTAGTTAATCTTCCTCTGCTTCCCATGCCGTAAGAAGGGAGGTGGATCAGAAGTGAAGAAGCTAGGACTTGAACCAGCGCCCACATGGAATGCCAATGCCATAGGCAGAGGCTAAACCCACTACACCACATTGGGTCCAGGCGACTCTTTCCCCAGTTCCTTCTTCACTCCCACTCTTCATTCTTGCTTATGCCACTTGGGCCAACCTACACCTTCAATACTGGTAGTGGAAGTGCAGGCCTCTTCTGCCCCCCTCCCCAAGATATGCCTTTCTGTGCCTCTACTCCGTGGCCACAGATGAGCACCGTTGCCATCCAGGGCTGTGCTGGGGTCTGGATGCCAAGTGGGCAGCTGTCCCTTCTCACACAGTTCCACTGAACAGATGCTGAAGATCCTGGCAAGTTAAGCTCCTGCTCACTGTCAGAGAAAAACCTCATCCTGTCCCAGGTTGCTGCTGCCAGGAATATTCAAGATCTTACCTCATCTCAACCTGAGAAAATCATCCCCTTCTTCCCAGTAAACAAGCGCTAATCCATCCTTGGACTTAGATGGATGGGATGTCCTGCCAACTGGTTAGCATTCACCATGCTCCTTGTTGGTTTATCAGACATGCACTTATTGGCAGTGCAGAATTGTGGGGCTGCAGGGCTGGGGCCAAGTCCACACGCATCTCTACCCCATGCATTGCCAGGATGCTTTCAGTGTAGGCAATGCCCAGGATTTACAAACCTACCGTGGGTATTGCTCTGTGCCCTTCTCCTTGTGTCGCCTGCAAAAATGAGGACGGGTAGAGCTTCGGAGCCAAGCTGATTGGACTTCAGTTCCAGTTGTCCCTTTTATAAGTTACACTTGTTTTGGGGTAAGATTTTGTAGTACCAATGTGATGGCTGCATAAGAAGCTAATCTTCTGCAGGCAATGGCATTCTGTATGAGTGTGGTTTGTGTCCTGGCTGCTCTGTTTTCAGTCCAGTTCCCTGCTAATGGCCTGGGAAAGTGGCAGGCAACACCCCAAGTGCTATGAACCCATGTTGGAGAGCCAGAAGAAGTTCCAGTCTCCTGGCTTGGGAATGGCTCAGCTCCAACAGTTGTAGCCATCCAGAAAGTAAATCAGTACACAGAAGGATCACTCTCTCTCTCTCCCTCTCTCCCTCTCTCTCCCTCTCTCTCCCTCTCTCTCTCTTAGGCTGTGTGTGTGTGTAAGTCTGCCTTTCAAATAAATTAAATGTTTATTTTTTTAAAGACTTGGCAAATAATTCAGCTTTGTTCCTCAGTTTCCTCAATCTTGTGATGGAGATGGAGTCTCTCCAACATCCTGCAAAGTTTCCAGTGGCTTATGCATGAAAAATATTTCAAGCAAAAAAAAAAAAAAAAAAAAAGCTGAGCCACCATGAACTCTCAACTCATTTTAACTGAAAAGGAAACACTGGAGGCCCTGGACTGGGATCTGGCCATGACCAAATCTAGCACTGAGATTGTTCCCTGTCCCCAAGAGTCACACAATGTCTGCTGTGCTGGGTTGTGTCCACCCAAGCACTTTCACTAACAGAACAAAGAATGATGGTGATAAAAATCAAAGCTAAGGAAGCCTCAGGCGAAACTGAAGTTATTCAGGGCATACCCAGTGAGCTCTGCAGACAGCCACTCCTCATTTCCTTATTTCCCAGAGGAGGAAGCTGGTGGCCAGAGAAAGCAAAGATCTCCCGAGGTTGAGGGGCAAGACGAAGACTCATCAGCCTGTGTGAGGGTGAAAGAACCCGCAGATGGAGTGCAGCTGAGCCCTGATTTTCCCACCTGCCCATTCTCCTCAAAAGAACAGACAGCATCTAACTTAGAGCATCATCACAAAAGAGGGGAGAAAAAAAATCAAACGGAAAACAGTGACTCTTTCCTGAACACAGCAGCTATTCAGCAATCACAGCTATTGCAACTAATGAGAAACACTCGTGCTATCACTTGTGTCCACCTGGAAAGTGACCGACGTCTGTGAGGGAGACCAGATGTCCTCTAATACCTTGGTGGCAAAGGGGCTAGCAAGTGCCATGGGAGTGTTATTGAGCTGGAGATGAAGGGAAGCCCAGGCCAGGAGCACTGCCATTCCCCCACCAGACCTTAGCCACGTGTACAGGCTAAACAAGAGTAAATGCAAACATGAAAATTTGATCTCTATGGGTAGGCAGTAACATCTGACTCCAAGGTAGGAAAATAAATGCCTGCCAAGAAAAACGTTAGTCAAGAAAACTAGCATGTCAGTATAGCAAAGCAAATATTTTACTAAATGTTGGCTCTCACTCTGATTTTCTTTAAGAAATAAAGCATGGCCTAGCGGCTAAAGTCCTCGCCTTGAACGTGCAGGGATCCCATATGGGCGCTGGTTCTAATCCCAGCAGCTCCACTTCCCATCCAGCTCCCTGCTTGTGGCCTGGAAAAGCAGTCGAGGACGGCCCAAAGCCTTGGGACCCTGCACCGGTGTGGGATACCTGGAGGAGGTTCCTGGCTCCTGGCTTCGGATAGGCATAGCACCGGCCGTTGCGCTCACTTGGGGAGTGAATCATCAGACGAAAGGTCTTCCTCTCTGTCTCTCCTCCTCTCTGTATATCTGACTTTCCAATAAATAAATAAATCTTTAAAAAAAT